CCTCTACTCGAAGGATAAACAGGCTGAGAAAGAAATTAGGGAAATGACACCCTTCACAATAGTCACAAATAATATAAAATACCTTGGTGTGAATCTAACCAAGCAAGTGAAAAATCTGTATGACAAGAACTTTAAGTCTCTGAAGAAAGAAATTGAAGATCTCAGAAGATGGAAAGATCCCCCATGCTTCTGGATTAGCAGGATTAATATAGTAAAAATGGCCATCTTGCCAAAAGCAATCTACAGATTCAATGCATTCCCCATCAAAATTCCCACTCAATTCTTCATAGAGATAGAAAGAGCAATTTGCAAATTCATTTGAAATAACAAAAAACCCAGGATAGTAAGAACTATTCTCAACAATAAAAGAACTTCTAGGGAATCACCATCCCCAACCTTAAGCTGTACTACAGAGCAATAATGATAAAAGCTGCATGATATTGGTACTGAGACAGGCAGGAAGATCAATGGAATAGAATTGAAGATCCAGAAATGAATCTACACACCTATGGTCACTTTATCTTTGACAAAGGAGCTAAATCCATCCAGTGGAAAAAGGAAAGCATTTTCAACAAATGGTGCTGGTTCAACTTGAGGTCAGCATGTAGAAGAATCCAAATTGATCCATTCTTAACTCCTTGTACAAAGCTCAAGTCCAAGTGGATAAAGGACCTTGGCATAAAACCAGATACAGAGAAGCTAATAGAAAAGAAGATGGGAAAAAGCCTCGAACACATGGGCACAGGGGAAAAGTTCCTGAACAGTACCCCAGTGGCTTATGCTCTAAGATCAAGAATTCACAAATTGGACCTCATAAAATTGCAAAGCTTCTGTAAGGCAAAGGACACTGTCAATAGAATAATACAGCAACCAACAGATTGAGAAAAGATCTTTACCAATCCTACATCCGATAGAGGGACAATATCCAATATATACAAAGAACTCAAGAAATTAGACTCCAGACAACCAAATAGCCCTATTAAAAAATGGGGTATAGAGCTAAACAAAGAATCCTCAACTGAGGAAACTCAAACGGCTGAGAAGCACCTAAAGAAATGTTCAATATCCTTAGTCATCAAGGAAATGCAAATAAAAACAACCCTGAGATTCCACATCATACCAGTCAGAATGGCCAAGATAAAAAACTTAGGTGATAGCAGATGCTGGCGAGAATATGGAGAAAGAGGAATACTCTTCCATTGTTGGTGGGATTGCAAGCTGGTAAAACAACTCTGGAAATCAGTCTGGCAGTTCTTCAGAAAATTGGGCATAGCATTACCTGAGGACCCAGCTATACAACTCCTGGGCATATACCCAGGAGATGATCAATAAGATATAACCCATTCTTGGCACTGGTTGTTTTACTTAGAGGCAAAAGATGTCTAATTGGGGCATGGGCTTCCCTATTATTTGGTGACTTCATTTAGATTACTTTCATATAGAAACATTTTAAGACCATCCCAAAAGGCAATTTCATCATTTTTAACAACTATAGTGAATTCTCATGTTAATCAGAAGGGTTTATGTAATTTTACATGAAGAATTATATCTTTGGACAGTAAAATGGCTCAGAGGGTAAAGGAGCTTATAGCCATGCCAGACAACCCAAGTTCACCATGGAACCCCATGGTAGATAAAGAGAACTGAATCCCAAAAGTCATCCATTGACCTACATCCTTATGGGTGTGGCACATGCACTTCCAACCCACTCATAAATTCACAAAATAATAAATGAATATGTACATTAAGTCTTGGATGAATATTTGGTTCTATACAAAGCCAGGCATCTTCAACATCCTCCAGAGTCAATCACTACTTCAAGTTTACAATCACCAGTGCTCAGAAGGTTGCTTTGCATACATATATAGTACAAAATGGCAGCAGCATGCTTAGAGCCATTTCAGAAATCACTGGAAACAATAATTCAGGTACTGTGCCTCTTATTTTCTCTTCCCTCCAGAAAATGACAGTTCTCTCAAGAAAAGTTGAATATGGCCAAGTGGCATCACCTCAGTGCTTTGAGCATTCCACTAGCAACCCTTGGCTTGCTTGCTGACTGTCCTCTCCTATTAATTGAAACTACCTGGACTATGTCTCTCTCTCTCTCTCTCTCTCTCTCTCTCTCTCTCTCTCTCTCTCTCTCTCTCTCTCTCTCTCTTTCTTTCCTGTCTGTCTTTCTTTCCTGTCCGTCTTCCTTTCCTGTCTGTCTTTCTTTCTGTCTGTCTTTCTTTCTGTCTGTCTTTCTTTCTTTCTTTCTTCTTGTTTTTTGTTGTTGTTGTACATGCACTTCACTGCCTTCCTAGTGGAGGACCATAAAATAAATACTTACTGGCGGCACAGGAGTGAAAGGTGATCAGCTTAGTAGGGAAGCAGGCAGTAGCGCCTCCCCAAGTGGCTTTTGAGTTGAACCCAAACTCATGAAGCTTTAACCATTTGTCCATTCTGCTTGCTCTGTGTGCATGTATCCCATGGGCAGCTTTCCTCTTACAATTCTCTTTACAAACAGAAATCCATTTGTGCTTTTGTGCTCTGACCTGAAACATAGTTGCATACTTCATGTGTGGTTTACCCTCCCATGATGCCTAGTCCTGACTTCCAACTTGCCAGGATCTAGAATCACTATGAAGACAAACCTCTGGTCATTCCTGTGAGGGGCTGCATAGATGGGAAGTGAGAAGACCCCTTCTAAACCAGTGACATCATTCCATGGGGTGGCAGACTGGGGTACATAAGCAAAGGCAAACTATCCAAGCATCAGCATTCAAGACTCTCTGCTTCCTGACTGTGGATGAAATGTGGCCAGTGACCGATAGCTCCTGCCACTACAGCAACCTCTCCATGCTGGTTTGGACTCTCCAGAGGTGAACCCTCTTCCATAAGCTGGTTTTGTCTGGTGGTCTGTCACAGAGACAAGGAAAGACACTAATACTGGTTCTTATGTGAAGAGAGATCACTCACATTCCTCTGAAGTTATCTGTTCCACGGTGCAAGAGAATACACAATGGTCCATGAGAGCAGAGAATTAACTGTGAAACTCACAAAATCTGAGGCTTAAGTCAGATTTCTTTGTCTCAATCTTTGGTGATTTTAATTAAAAAGATTTAAAGTACCTATTTTTCTCAAAATAGTGTTAACTTCACACTATTGGAGAAAATTGGAGAAATTACACTATTCGGTCGCAATTTCTCTACATTTTGTAAATTACTAAAGTCCACTTTTTTTTCATCAGAGAGATTGTTGAAAGCCTTGGAGAGATTATGACTTATAAAGTAAATCATTACTCTTCCATGAAGAAATATTGTAAAAATAAGCTGTGAATTAAAACGCACCGTGAAGACTGTAACGGACTCTGCGGTGAATCTGCCCTTGACGGTGAGCTTTCACAAGAGCCCGATGAGTTTGTCAGCCTCTCCAGCGACACGTTGGTGCTAATAAAATCTGGGGCTACTGAACGCCAGGCAGCAGCTAGGATAATTTTAATGCTCCTGGATTCTGCATTATGCCCCATTTGTAACAGTGCTTTGTATGTTTCTCAGGCATGTAATTGCATATACTCATAAAATTTAATGTTAAGTGGATCTCTCCTGAGCAGAAATCACAGCTCCTGATAAAGTCATCGCACATAGCAATTTTAAAAATGTCCCACTAGCAGCCCCCTGATGGTGATTACTAGCTCGGTTCATTGAGGCAAGGGGAACAAGAATACAAACAGTGTTTCTAGGGGTCTGGTATGCATGATTAATTCATTTTAATGCAGAGGGATCAAAATCTGAACCTCAAGCATGTCCAAAGATCATCATCCTCTGAGGATCATTGGCTGAGCATGCTCAAACCGGACAACTCCCCCACAGTTGTTACTCAGCTACAGCAAGGAGCCGATGGTTCAGGAGCCAATGTCTATGGAACTCAGATGAGGTTTACACTAGTGCCCATCTGGCTCCCAGGCACAAGTGTGGACACAGTCTGAAAAGCCATCTGTCAATTTTCTTAGGACAGGCATTTCTATCCCTCTACCATTCCTCCTACTACACAATCATGCCTTGGCTTGTCACTGCTAAGATCATGGGTAAATGAACATATGCCACAGTCTCTGACCCTTAACCTTACTCATCCACCAGGACCACTAGAAACAGGAAATACATCCCATTATCTCCTTCTCTAGAGTTGCAACATGGGCCACTCACTGGCTAGGATCCAGCACAGGCCTGGTACCACATATGCAAGGTGAAGGTGACCTCCAGCCTTACAGGAAGTCAAGGCGCTGCAGCTCAGAACCAGATTTCATCTTTGGAGCTGTTTCCTGAGGAGTGAGAAGCGCTTCTGTCAGTGAGGACACTGAATGTTTGTACTCACCTTGGAGTTGGTTTTTATTCTTAGAGAAGATTCCTTGGCAGCATGGAGAAGGGTGAGAAGCCCTGGATTCTGGATCTGGGGTGTCAGAAAAGCAAGACAGGATGCTGTCATCAGAACCAGAGTTGTCACTGCAGGGCGACTATGTTCCCCACTGTAGGAGCACAGAAGTGTCAGTCTGCACGCCCAGTTAGGACATCACTTAGCACACAGTAAAGAGGCACTGAGCATTTGTATGGTTGATTTCCACACAGCAGTCCACTGAGCTTCATTGCAGCTGGTTATGGAAGGCGACAGGCTGTAGCATAGAGAGGGCTTTTACCAGAGTCAGGTCCTCTCACTTCCCTGCTTGGTGAACTTCCTTCACACTCAGAGCCTTACAGATTCTTCTTCAGCCTTGAGAATGGTGGCCTCACAAGAAATCCTGACACCCACCCCCACCACCACAAAATGCTCCAAACTGACAGTCAGGGACTCTTTGAAATTACCAACCCCCTCCCAACATCAGGTTCCCTCCATACCGTGAAGGTGGGAGGGATAACTGCTTTCAGATGAGAGGGGTAAGAGAAAACCTATAACGTTTCAATTCACAGTGGAAAACAAGGAACACAAACACCAAAGCCATCTTCAACAACACGAGGAGACATTGGTTTATCAGGACCGAGTTTATGAAGTAAGAACATGGGAGGAAGGACGGCCAGCAAGAGCGGCTGCAGTGAAGGCTGCCTTAGAGACCATGAGGAACAGACCCCAACATGGGCAGAGGGGGCGGGGTTCTGGGGTGAGGAGACTCCAGCATGGAGGTGGGGGTTGGGGTGATGCTGAGGGGAGCAGACCCCAGCATGGAGGCAGGGGCGGGGGACACTGAGGGGAGCAGACCCCAGCCTGGAGGTGGTGGAGGGGGTGATAAGGAGAGCAGACCCCAGCATGGAGGCAGGGTTGGGAGGGTGGGAGCTGTTGGGGAGGGGGGAAGATGCTGAGGAGAGCTCAGGTCCAGGTCCAGCTCCAGAGCACTAAGGCTAAAGAATGCTAAAGGCTTCCACTGGGTATTCTCCTGACCCTGGTGAAGCCATGGTGCTATGAAATACAATCGAAACAAAAGAAAACAATAAAACAACCAAACAACAACAACAAAAGATTACAAGCAAATGAGAAACCTTGGGACTAGGGACTTGAGGAATCTGACATTCTTTTGTTTTGGGCTTATTTTATTTATTTATTTATTTATCTATTTATTTATTTACACTCTCAATTTTATTTCCCCTGCCAGTCTACCCTCTGACTGTTCCACATCCCATACCTCCAACCCTGTCTCCGTGAGGCTGTTCCCACTCCCCAACCCCCACCCTGCCTGACTTCTAAACTCCCTGGGGCCTCCAGTCTTTTGAGGGTTAGGTACATCATCTCTGATTGATCACAGACCGGGCAGTCCTGTGCTGTACATACGTTGGAGGCCTCATATCAGCTGGTATATGCTGCCTTTTTGGTGGGACCTGACGTTCTTGAGCTCTTTCTGCCTCATACAGAAAGGCTGAGCTCAATTCAAGAGATGGAAGACACTTTTTATGAGATACCAAACCACAGCTGTATAAAAGAAAAACAAGTGAAAACTTAGGCAAGTCCATCCAGGAGGAAGAGGGAGGCTCCCAACCATCACGAGCACTCACACATGCATGCATATTGTCATCCCCTTGAGAAGAAGCCCAATATCAAAGACAAAATCCGAATCGCATACCTAGAGCAATAGTGGAATCCTTAGAAAACATAAGAAAGAAGATGCCATGGTTGAAAACTGGAGGCAGTGTCCAGCCAAAGACAACCAATAGTAATCAATTAATCAATCAATCCAATTCTTTCTTACCTCTAGGTAGCAAAGTCTCCCAAACCTTCAATAACTGGATTCTTCTCCAGGCTTCCTCTGTCCCAGGACTCACAGCTAGACCTCGGTGCTCAGAGGTGCATGATGGTAACTTAGTGCAACCTTAAGGTGTGTGCTAAATCCGTGATGATTTGTCCTGTGTGCCATGAACAACCCATTTCTTTTTCAAATTTCACAAGCAAAATTCCCCTGACACTGCTTATTTGGCTTTCTTTTCTGTCAAGGAACAATTATCACAATGAGCTTATAGTTGCTTACGCGTATCTCCTGGCAATGGCAACAGATACTGTTTCATGTGTGATGAGACCTTTGTACCAAGGCGAAGGGCTTCCCAGATGGTCTTCCTTGTCAGCTACTCCTCAGTCTTTCCTGTATTGACACATTAAGCATCACATCTCATGACAAACCTGAGTGGTGGCCTCAGCCAACTGACGACATGCAGTACTGTGAGGGGATCCAGGGTTGAGGGTTCTGAGACACCCACCTGACCAATAGCTCTGATACAGAAACCACTCACTGAAGGCATTGGGAGATGATCAAGATTACTCCAGCTTTGATCACCTTTGCCTAAAACCAGGGAAGCCAAGCAGGTCAAGGCCACAGGTGTTGATTTCCAAGCCTTCTCTTGTGTGTGCATGCTGAAAACACCCAGGGATGCAACTCGCTTGCACACGTTTTTTTTATCTCACCAATGAGGTCTGAATGTTTAAAGGAGGCCATGGTAAACTTCACTCCTTAGCAGCTGGAGCATCTTTCACAAAAACACGAAGAGCCGGTGCTGGAGAGTTGGCTCAGCAGTTAAGATCACTTGCTTCTCTTGCAAAAGACCAGAGTTCAGTTCCCAACACCTATGCCAGTGGCTCACAATCCCCTGTCCCTCCAGGAGATCCATCACCCTCTTAGACTGAGCCACCTCAGTCACTATACTCATATGCACATACCCACATAGAGATACGCATAGACATAATTAAAAATAAAGCAAAAATTTAAACAAGCAAAAGGTACACATGACTGACTGATGAAACACAGTGAAGCCACAGGCTGACTCGTGTATACAGAAATGCTCCAAATTCAGGACTCTGTGCAAGCTATTATAACCCATTTTAATGGTCCATAACATTTCAGGTGCTCATTCATGGCCTTACAATATTCCCCTCATGTGCTTACAAGTGATGCCCCAGAGTGATTTAAATCATGCACACCAGGGTTACTGTGTCATGTATCATGTTGTGTGTGTGCATCAAAGTATATGTACACGCATACAATGCACAGGATAAATCTAGGAGAATATTTGAGGATAAATATTATGAAACCTAATAAGATTGTACAATTCAGTGGTACTGAACATTCTGTTTTCTTAACGGACCAGTCTCGCTGCAGAGTAGAGAGCAAAATGCAAAAGTAAGGAGTTGCCACGCAATGGCTAACTTCGATTGTCAACTTAACACCCACACCTAGCATGAAGGATTTTGGGTTAAAGAATTGCCTCCATCAGATTGGCCTGTAGGCATGTCTGTGGGTCATTTGCTTGTTTGCTAATGGGTGTTTGAGGAGCACCCACTGTGAGTGATACCTAGGCAGGTGGGCCTGGGCTACATAAGTAGTAGAGCAAGCCAGTGAGCAGTATCTCCCCATGGTTTCTTTTCAATCTCCTTCCTTGAGCCCCTGGTCTGGCTTCCCTCAATGATGCACTGTAACTGAGAGGATTGAATAGACCCTTTCATCTCCAGGTTGTTTTTGGCCACTATTTTATCACAGTATCAGAGAAGCAAATTAGGACACCTTATAACAGTTGACAGTGAAGTAATATATAAGGTATGATTGTATGAATAAGGTGATTGTATGTATGACCGCCAGTGCTCTCGGCCACAGGAAGCCTTCCTTCAGAGAGCCCTGTGTCATCCACAAGGAGGAACACCAGCTCAAGCTTGCCCAAACAGTCTCAGTTAACATGATGTTACCAAGCAATGGCCCTCCGCCACCTTTGTTAGACAGTGTGCCCATCCTCAGTATAGGAGAAGTCCATGACCTCTTTCAGAGTCCACAGAAAGCACAGTGGCCCCACCTCAGGAGAGGGATAAAACACGGTGCAAACATGTAGAGAGACCTGTGGAGCCGTTCTAATTCTACCCTCCTTGCTAACCTTCACCAGAGCTTGAGAAGATTCTGTAGTGATGGGGGCACCAGTCGCAATGACAATTATTGATGTTAACACCCTCCTTAGGCCTCAGAGTATACTTGCAAAGTCCATCATGGAAAAGCTGCTGAGGGGAGTTGAGAGAACAAGGGAGAGGGAGTGGGGAGTGGGCTTCTGCCACATGAGGCTGTAAAACAGCAGAGTCACTGCAGGATGACAGCATTTGCTCTGAGGATCTTTGGTGTGACTCCAGGTGGGACTGTTTGAACGGTCCCTATGGACCATTTTCCAGTGAGGTAATCATAAGGCTGAGCATGAAGGTTAGGGTGTTGCTGTGAGTAGATAGTTTTATTTAGTCCAGTACTGGGTGGTCTAAACTAAGCCATTTGTATTTCTCAGCCAGTGACTAAAATTGTCCTGTCCCCTGAAGAGTCACTCTTAGCCATCATGAACCACCTCCCTCTAGATGCCTAGGGTGGCTTCCCTCCTCCGAGCTGGAGGTCCTCAGTCAAGCATGACTATCTCAGGGAAGCAGAGCAGAGCCCTGCTACTCCCCCTGCAGTAACACTGCTGTCAATCATGCTCCAGAACTCACAAGCTGGGCTCAGGAGAGACCTCGGCTACAGCCAGGCTAGGTTTCTCTCACCCTCCTGGGTTAGCCTGAGGCCACTCACCCCTAGGATCAACCACCCACAAATGCCAAAGCCACAGACCAAGCGACTCCCAAATAGAGGCAGGGAAGTTGCTCCATAGAAAGTTAAGCTGTGTCCAGAGTCTCCGACACTATAGAACGAGAGACCTATATATCGATGTTATTGTTAATGAATGATGTGGCAAAGGCTTAATCCTAGTGTAAGATTGTGGAACATTGGTGGCTTCAGCGTGCAGAGTCTGGTAGAGGTCTACAGCGGTCCTGGTGTGAATGGGTTGCTGTGATAAAATTCTCTGACAAAAAGCAACTTGGAGGAGGAGAGCGTTTATTTCAACTAACACTTCCAGGACACAGCCCATCATTAAGGGAAGTCGGGGCACAGATTCAAGTAAGAACTTGATCATAGGAACCAAGGAGAAATGCTATTTGCTGGCTCACTCACAGGCAGAGTGGACGCCATGTTAGCCATGACTGTGAGCCAAGCTCACACTTGTTGTTTTCCATAGGGACAAGAAGGGAGACACCTAAGAAAGCCAACATGGCGTTTTTGAAGGGAACATCAAGAAACTGATATTTTCAAAGCAGTTTCTGTGTTCCCATTTAAAGCACATTAAATGAAGTTCTTTCCATCTAAAAGTCAACGTGCTTAATGAACATAGACAATATAAGTGTATTTATTTGAGGGGCATGTGGAGGGAGTAGAGATAGTTCAAGGTTGAATGTCTCCAGGAACGTAGGTTCTTCCACAAGGCCTTGAAAAATTAGTGCCGGGTGGACAGCTGCTGTGAACCACAGGACACACCAACTCTGTCACCAGGGCCTTTCCCACACACCCCATTCTTCCGTTCGCTGCCAGAATGTTCCTCGTGGTTTCCCTTCTACCCCTCCCCACAGTGAGGACCACATGGGAATACCGCAGGAGAGGTGTGACTCACCATTTCAAGCTAACAGCTTCTGTCTTCCGAGCCTTTCCAGAATGCTTCGCTAGTCTGCCTTTCATCACCTGCCAACAACGGGCATGAGCAATACCACGAATGGAGATCATGAGTAAAATGATAGTTGTCCTCAAGATGAGGTAAGCAAATAAAAGTCTGCAGCAATGCCACCAGGCCCTTTGGCTGCTATTGCTCCTGTGTGCCAGAGTCCTACTCCACAGGTGGCTCACATGAGACTGAACGCAAGTTCAGAGCATGCTTCCTAATGGGCCAAGGGGAACCTGGTGATTAACTCAAAATACGCTTTAAAAAAAAAAGATGTCCTTTATACCCAGCGATAGCATAGAGCAAGGGTATAACACAGAAAGTAGAAAATCAGCTTCAATAAAAGGTTGTACACGTCGAGTTTCTCTCTCCCTCTCTCTCTCTCTCTCTGTATGTGTGTGTGTGTGTGTATGTGTGTATGTGTGTGTATGTATGTTATATATGTGTGTATGTCTGTGTATGTGTGTGTATGTATGTATGTGTATGTATGTATATGTATGTGTGTATGTGTGTGTATGTATGTATGTGTGTATGTCTGTGTATGTGTGCATGTGTGTGCATGTGTGTGCATGTGTGTATGTATGTGTATGTGTGTGTATGTGTGTGTGTGCATGTGTGTATGTGTGCATGTGTATATGTGTGTGTATGTGTGTGTGTATGTGTGTGTGTGCTCTTTCATGCACATTTAACACCCATTCTTTATTGCTCCAGCCACTTTCCTGTTCCAGAAATACTATTTAGCCAAATAAATGTATTTGTATTTTTTTTCTTCTGACTGAAACTTAAATCGACGTGAAATCTCTGCAGGAAAGGACTTATCTCTCTGGAATTTCAGATCACCTCTGAAACTACATCTCAGGAAGAATGCTTAGGTTCTCAGTACCAATTTCCTGACATCCAAGTCAAGAACAATGCTGAGGTCTGCTGTCTAAAGACAGATAGATTAAAACAGCGTCCCAGTCAAAGAGCCACAGATCCAAGGGCTGGGGCTCTGATAGGCCCCAGCCTATCAGAAAAAGCCCTGGGGAACAAACAGGCCACAGTACTTTCTGACCGAACAAAGAGTAAATGCTTTGCAAATTTAAAAACTGTTCATAGGAGAACGCTTCCCCATGAGCCTTTTCAAGTATCTTCAATATTATACACTGAAAACAAATAAATCGTGAACACAAGCGGGCTTTTTCTTCTGCATCAGATCCGTTATTTTGTCCCCGTGTTTTGTTCACGAGCTGTAGAAGACATAGCCACCAGCCACCACCATGCAGCTGAATGAGCATTTAGTATTAGTTTCCCTGGATCTTCCCCACCTCTGTGTTTTCTTCTGCTGGGTTGTTGAAAACACCCAAGGCCAGAAAAGACCGATCTCCTTTTCCACACTGCTCCTCACACACACTCTCATCCTTTTCTCCCTGGTAACTCTAGGCAACATGTGTATTTGGAAAGATGCACACAGTGTGTCTACAGCTGAAACCAGAGTGATGATGAGGGCATGTCATGAGGTCTGGTACTGTGGTTTAGGTGAGAATGGCTTCCACAAGCTCATAATTTGAATACCCAGTCTCCCATCGGTGGAACTGTTCAGGAAAGTTAGGATGTGTGGTCTTATTAGAAGTGGTGTGCCACTTTGGTTTCAAAAGATTCGTGCCATTCCCAATGCTTTTTCCCCGCTTCCCACTTGTGTAACAAGATATGCGTTCTTGGCTGCTCTTCCCTCCACTGACATGGACTCTAAGCCTCTGAAACTACAAGCCAAGGCAAATGCTTTCTTCTGTAAGTTGCCTTGCTCATGGGGTTTTGTCACAGCAATAGAATGAAAGCAGGTTCTGTGCCTGTTCTCCCTCCACTGCCCACCTGGGTCTCTGCACCTTTCTTTACTCTCCTCTGCCACACTGTCTTTACAGGTGACACAGGTCATCTTCACGACATAAGTTCTGTGTCTGAGGTCATCCTCTGCCTATGAGCTCAGCTGTTTGAACAGTAAATGCCGATCTTTGAAGTTCCTGCCTCTGCCTCCTTATTCTTGAGGTGTCTGCCTTTCCTTCACTGGTAGGCATGGTCTCTTGGCTTCTGGTTTAGTCCCTATGAGGACTTGTGGCATTTCCTATTGGTGTGATGTTTTGTTTCTTTTGACTCTAGATCTAAAATTGGTAAACCCTAACCTGAGGGCAAAATTCAGACAGCTACTTGATTTTTACAAATTTGAAGAACCAATAAAGGGATTTTTATATTGTACTAATGAATGAAAAAAAATCTAAACAATATCTTGAGACAGATAAAATGTCATGGGAAGTTCAAAGTCAAGTATCTTTGAATTGATTCTTGATCACGAACCACAGATAGGCATTCCAAACAGCTGTCTGTGTGCTGGCAAGGCAGAATAGAGTAACAGTCTCCAATACCCAAAGCTTAGAGCATCAGCATCTGCTCCTGGTCAGGAAAAGCCTGGGGCCTCAGCTATGAAGGACAGCTCCACCCAGGAGGCTCGCTTCTGCTCGGAGCTGTGTGTGAGTTTTCTGAATAAGGTGCCTCTCACACAGCAGCCCACACTAGATACGCCAGACAGGAAGGAGATACAATCCTTCAGGAAATGTTATTGTTCTTCCGTTCATTAAATAAAAGCAGGAGACTAGAAATAAATAGTACCTTGCCAGAAGGTTCTACACCGTCACTTTTCCAAGTCACACGAAATCCTACCCCTCTATAAAACTAATGCTACCTACCGACGGAACTGACAGAATTATTTTGTGCCCCTTTGATTTGTTAAGCTGTTTGCAGTTATAAAACCCCTTCGGCTTCCCTAGGGATGTATCGTTGTCATAAATATACTGTATTCGTGTAAAGTATGTGAGCAAAATGAATAGACTAAGGCATCCCTGAAACATCTTCATATTGGAAACTGGCATTTTCTGATCCAAAGCCATTCATTTTCCTGCTTGTATGTCTGTGGTTTCTGGCTTCTGCCTCATGCAAGAGGCTGGGAACAGGGAGCAGCTGAAGACAGACACCAGCACAAAACACCCTGATCAGCAAGGGTGCAGATCTGTCCTTGTGGTGCTGTGACGCACAGTCTCTCGATATTTTTAGTCATGTTTAGTTGAGAGGTCTTGGGTCTGGAGATATGGCGCAGTGATAAGAGCATTTACTGCATAAAGACAAGGCCTGAGTTCAGGTTCCAGCACCCATGAGAAAGCTACTTCACTACCATGGAGGGTGGAGGCAGGATTGCAAGAGCTTGTTGACCACCACCCTGTTGTAGGAACCCTATGTCAAAAAACAAAAGCGTTATGGAGCCAGATACTTATCCTCCGCTAGCCTCCAATCGTATGTACACCTTCATCCACACCTGTATACACACACACACAGAGAGAGAGAGAGAGACACACACACACACACACACACACACACGTGTGCGCGCGTGCGCGTGCACACACATACACCCCTCAAGCATGCAGCACGGTCACACCACCCACACAGACACACACAAAGGGAGTTCTCGATATCACTAATGTAGTTAACATTCTTTAAAAGCTAGGAGGATGGTGGACACTTTCTCCATAAAGAGACAGTAACTATTTGCAGACATAGATTTATTCAACCTGATTTAGAGAGTAACGGTTACAAGCATCAAAATATCTCACACTGTCCCGAAAAGCATAGGTGGAAAACTCATTGAAACAAATCCAATTGCATTTTGCACAGGGCTCTTGAGCTGAATCCAGCTAGTGGTTTCTGAGAGGTTTGTTGACTGAGGGATCGGGAGTTGTAGGATGCCTGAGGACGACACTAGGATTAACCAACAAACAGCTCTAGTTTTAATCAAAATGTCTCTTTACCTTCTTGAGTGCATGGCAGTGTGACCATGCCAGGAACTGACACAGGGTGCGCGTGTTCCTGCAGGGTTTTACTTCTCTGTAAAGCTTTTTCCTATCCAATTCCTTACAGCTAGAAGAATTCCCTTCCCAGGGAAAGACAATCCTGTTCTCTGAGATTCCCTGCTATGCTCTCGTGAATTCTCTTGTCCCAAAAATGGAGAGCTTTTCACTTAACGCCTAGAACACAATTGACACTCCCACAATACGCACGGCTAACATCAAGCTTGGGCACGCACCCGCATTACTGCTACCGCCAGACCAACTGCGGCTGTAAATTGACACCCACCGATAGACACTCTCAAATGATATCCTCAGAAGTGAACAGCATGCACATGATAAAATAAAAGCAGGACAGTGGCTAGCATGTGATGTGCTGGGCACTTGCCCTGTTCCCTCCCCTTCAGCCGCAGGATGAGTTATAAGAATGTGCAAGGCGAGGCTGTGCCTCAGAAGTGCTGATGTCCCCCCTTACAAACCAGCCAGGAAACATCAGATAATGAGGGGCATTTTGCACCCAGGATACCAATCTAAATAGCTGTTGCTACAAGATAACCTCTTGTGAAACAGCTTGATACAGTTGAGGAGAACAAGAGACCTTAGAATAGTCCACAAGAAGGAAAGAGACCATTTGTTAAATACAACCAACTCCTGGGGTGGCCCTAGAAGGCACAGAACACCCTGTGAAGTTCCAATTTTAGGCATGCAACTAATAAACTTTTAGTATTAAAATAGTGTGTGTGTATGTGTGTGTGTGTGTGTGTCCCCAAAATAGCAGGAATCACTGAAATATGCATTGCTGCTCAGAAATTCAAATATAACTAAGAATCCTCCTGTATCTATACATAAAGCTGGACAATCTTTACATTCCCCAACAAAGAAAATTGCTTCTTTATATCTTCCCCTTGAGGGATACAGGGAGAAGCCTGCATGCTTTGACTGAAATATCAAACTGTACTATAAGAAGAAAGCACTTTGCATGGCCAGTGGTGCAGGGCGCCGCCTCGCCGAAAAGGAGAACGCCACGCTTCAGGATTCTTCTGGCAGCATTTTTATTACAGCTCTTTTAGTGTTACAGCTCTCTTAGATGGTAGTGAGGCGAGGGACCCCAAGCCCCTAAAGCTAGTGGCTTATATAGCGCTTTAGGAGATGTGCCGCACACTCATTGGCTCTTATGATGTCGCCAAATTAGCATACTGGTTTTCGCGCCTTGCGCAGGCACACATTCAAGCAAGGCTCGCAAGAAGAACCAGGAAGCAGGAAACCGGCGCCATCTTCCGATGGCGGACGCGGCTCCTAACACAGTGGCTTGTACACACTATTGGTGGTTCTAAGACTGGCCTGACATGCACAGTGTCACAAGTCTCATTGTATAGAGAAGCACTCTGGAAAATATAACATGTTAACCGTTTTCAAATGATACACAGAATAAGTGGCCGAGTGAATCCCCAAACCAATTTCTATCTGACTATAGAAGCCATGGTGTAGAAATGAGGCCCTTTGTGATCAGCTGGCCCTTTATGCTTCACATTGCACGTTCTGGAGCTTTCTTTCCAAGCAAACATGGCAGCTTCTGTTCTTATTCAAAAGAATCCAGAGTCCTCATAGCCCAAACAAACTGGTGGTAAGAGGTAGTGTGTCATCCTACCTGCTGCACGAGGAAGACCTCCGTCTAGAGCTGGATCAAGATCCACCCACTTGGTGTTCTAGGGGAAAGAGAACAGGAGATTGCTACTGAGCCCTGTGCTGCTGGGAGCTCCACCCACCGATGTACCAAAAGGGGGAGAACAGGAAATACATTCTCTGTATCTGATCTGACCAGTGGGCCAAACGCTGGGTGTACTGAGCATAACAGGAAGCAGAGAGAACTGATTGGAGGTCTAGCCACTGGTGTGCCAAGAAAGAGTGGACAGAAAATTCATGCTGAGTCCTGGGCTGATGAAAGGTCCAACCACTACATGTATCGAGAACAAACAGGAAACCCATGCTGCATCTTGGGTCACTAAGTGGTCCACTCACAGAATGTGCCAAGAAAGTGTGAACAGGAAATCCGTGCTGCACCTTGAGCTGGTGGGAGACCAGAGCAGAAATCAATACGCATGTTCTTTCCACATCAGATGAAGGTAAATACACTAAACCTGGGAGCCACTTTCTGATGACAGAAAATGAAAAGGAAGATAGTTTTCTCCCAAACATGTTTACTGAGAGTGAAGCACAAAGCATATCAGCCCCAGTTCAGTCCAGGTATATTATATTGGTTTCAAAACACTCTGGTCATTTCAGAATTATTTATTGTTTCTTTAGGTGTTTATTGATCCTAGCTTTATATCAAAATCAAACAAAAGCTCTGTTATACTTCAACCCCAGAATTCTTATGAAGCACTCTTGACTACACTGTTCTAATGAAACATTTTAAAAGTACCTTTACAGGTGGGAAATGAGTGTTGAAACTGGTCATGCTTTTAATTCACAGGCGTGCCTTGAATTTTGCTACTGTTAAAAAGTTCATAGCTCTCAGGTGGTGTGGGCATTTGGGTCTGTTTACGAGAGAAGTCTGAAACTCAGAATAGATACCCACTTTTGCCTTTGGTGACCTCAGTTCTTAATGCAAATGCTTCTGCCGCTTGGTGGACCGACGCTGGAGACAGAAAGGAAACCAGGGGCACCATGGTTGAAAGTCAAGGACTCAGGTCAGCCTGAAGAAGAAAACAAAAGGAAGGGAAATGCTTCAGGGAATATTCAGACTACAGCATTCCAGTTGCTGTTAGCAGCTTTCTCTATTGTGTTCCAGCACCACGACCTTTGTCATCTTCCCAAGAGGCTCATGTAAAATCACAACATGTTCATGATTTATTCTTGGCTGGGTTCTAAAGGTCATGGTCCTTAGAAAAGGCTTATTGGACAGTCCAGCATTGTGTCCAGCTGCTCTCTCTGAGTCCCTCTGTGCCCATTCATCTCTGTGCTTCACCAAAAATAAGGTAGCCCAGGGGAAGGAGTGCAGCATGCTCTCTGGGCTCACAGGTGGGAGACTGTTTGAAATTACCTTGTGAAATCTATCTATTCAGGAGAGAGGACAGACATCTCTCCAAGAAACAAGAAGTCATCAAAGATGAAATGAAGCGTTGTTCTCGATGAAGCTATTGCATCAGAGACACACATATGTCCACTTCATGTTTTGGGAGTTGTGCAATTTTATTTTCATTCGAGGAAGGCCACTTTAGAATGTTTAATTTGAATGAAACAGGGTAGATATGAGAGAGAAAGCCAGCTGACTTGCAAGGAATGATACCAATTCTAGGATGGGAAGTCATCTAGGCTGCTCACTGTATGAAGACTAAAACATCAGTATATGGGAAGATTACATGGCATCCACAATTACGTGTGAAACTCAAAGTAGTGAAAATAGTTATCTGGTAACAAAGCAAATGAACAGAGTAAAGAGGAAAAGCCTCACAGTCATCTCCACTGATCCAGCAGAAGCATCTCAGCACTCTTGGATGATAACCCCTTAAACGGGGAGTAAAAGGAAGCAACACTGCCGTAGATACAAAGTCATGGGGAACACTAGGCTCCACAGTAAATGGCTTTCATATTACAAATTAATGAAGAGTGTTCATTCTTGCCGTTTTTTGTTAACATAGAAATACAAGTTTTAGCCAGAGTAACTAACTAAGCAAGAAAATAAAGGCACACAAACTGGGCAGGGAAAAGTAATATGACACATGCTCTCAGATTATACAATGTTGTAAATACCACATACACACACACACACATGAAGCTGTTTGAGCACACACACATCTTCACATACACACACACACACACACACACATACATATTGTAGAGATTACTGAATAACTTCAGCAGACAGGATATAAAACTAACACACAAAATGTAGTGTCATTTTTGTGCAATAACAGTGGGTAACTCACATAGAAATTAAGAAAATGGGGCTGGAGAGACAGCTCAGAGGTTAAAAGCACTGCCTGCTCTTCCAGAGGCCCTGAGTTCAATTCCCAGCAACCACATGGTGGCTCACAATTGTCTGTAAAGGAATCGGAAGCCCTCTTCTAGTGTGTCTGAAGACAGCTACAGTGTACTCACATATATAAAATAAATAATTCTTTTAAAAAGAAGACAGAGATTAAGAAAACATTTCCTCTTGCCACATAATAGAATAATTTGAATAAATTTTTCACAATAATGATCAATTTATATACATAAAACTACGAAACATTGCTGAAATAACCAAAGAAGACATAGATAGTATGCTAGATAGTGCTTTGGGTTTTTTGTTCATTCGTTTGTTTTTGTTGTTGTTTTCCCATCTTGGTTCAAACTACAGCATTTGAAAGGAGAGAACCTTAACTGAGAAAATGTCTTCATCAGGCTGGTCCATAGGTAAGACTGTGGGGCATTTTCTTGATTGATGATTGACATTGGAGAGCCCAGCCCACTATGGATGGTACCACTCCTAGGCAAGTGAGCTCAAGTTATATAAGAAAGCAAACTGACCAAGTCATAAGATGCAAGTCAGTTAGCAGCACCCCTCCGTGGTTGCTACTTCACTTACTGCCTCCTGGTTCCTGCTCTGCTTGGGTTCCTGCCCTGCTTGAGTTCCTATCCTGACTTCCCTCCATGAAGGACTGTGATTAGTGATACAAAGTCCAATTGAAATAGTTACTTTGATCCTGAAGTTGACTTTGGCCATGCTGTTTTATTGCAGTAATAGAAAGCAAACAAGTACAGAGAGGAAGCCATGCTGTGCTCAAAAATGAAATAAGCTATGAGCCCAGAAATAGACTATGGTGTATATGGCCAAAAGATTTCTAATAAGAACACTAAGAGCACACATCGAAAAAACAATCATCTTTTCTCAAAAAAGAGTAGTTGGGGAAATTGTATAATCACATGGGGGGAATGAAATTAGACCCTTAACTTACATCAGATATAAAAGTCAAATATATAGTAAAATATAAGACCTGAGGCTATAAATCTTATAGGAAGCCTCAAGACTTGAGTTTGACCTTTATTTATTTTGTTTCTCTGTTTTTGGTTGTTTGTTTATTATGTGACACCAAAGGCACAGGCAAAAAATGTGACCTGAACAACATGATTACATCCAACATAAAAAGTCTTGAAGATCTATCGAAGCCATCAAAACACAGTGAGGGATTTGCAAATTTACACTCAAGAAGAGTACATATCTGGAATATATGAATTTACTCTGAGAGAGGGTCCAAACCTGGAAAACAAGAATCTACTCTCACAAAGGGTCCACATCTGGAATATGTGAAAAGCTCAGTAACTCAGTGATAAAAACTGAACTCCAGTTTCAAAGTGAGCAAAGACCTTAGGTGCGTACCTGTAGGAGTGCTATTTAGAAAACAGTGCCTGATCCAGTTTGTTCCTAGGCAGCTGCCATGTTCCCGCTCTGCTCCTCAGCTCTGACCAGGGCTCTGGCTAGCTAGATGCACAGGCCCTGGCACCCACGAGATGCCAGTGTGGAGGATGGCTCTGCCTCATTCCCTGGTAGAAATGAGACTCTTAAACCTTAATGATTATCTAAAGGGTTTATATATTTAGAAATGTTCAATCAAAAAGATGCCCACACAACTAGAGTTGTTACCCAATATCTAACCTTTTGATAGAAGTTACTACCCAGGACAGCTTTCTACTCATCCGTGGTTCTCCATAGTTGATAGACTCCTCCTTCTCCTCCCCTTCTTCTCTCTTTCCCCTCCCCTTCCTGGTTTTCTCCCCTCCCTTTCCTCTCTTCTTCTCCCAGATCCACCTCCTCTCCTACTGCCTAATTACGGAGCTCCACTGCAAATACAATGTAGCAGAATAAATATCCTGCTATGTGTCCCCACCGAGAGCAAGGTGACCTTTCTGTTTCTGTAGAGACTGCCACTGGAATTTTGCTGGCAGTTGCACTGAGTCTAAATTGTTTTTGGTGTCCTTTTCACAATATTGACTTCTCTGATCCATTAGCACAGGTTGAGTGGGATCCTCTCTACCTTCCAGTTTTCCTTGATTTCTTTCTTCAGTGTTTTAAATTCTTCATTGTAGAGGTCTTTTACATTCATAGTTAGTTTTGTATTACTACTGCTGCTGCTGCTGCTGCTGCTACTACTGCCACTGCTACTGATGTTGTAAGTGGGATTCCTTCCCTGGGGTCCTTTTCATCATGACTGTCATGAACACTTAGGAAGGCTATTGACTTTTGTGCATTAATTAGTTTTGTTACATGCCACTTTAACAAGTGAATAAATAAATAAAACTTTCAAGAGTTTTCTGATAAGGTCCTCAGGGTCTCCTATGAATAGATTCCTGTCATCTACAAACAGAGAAACTTAGACCTCTTCCTTTCCTGTTTGTATTCTCTTGTTTGCTTCTCTTGTATTGTGGTACCTAAGACTTCAAGAGCTAAATAAGAGTGTAGAACACGGACCCTGTTCTTGTCCTTGCCTTTAGTGGAAATGCTTTGAGTCCCCCCAAATAGAATGGGCAAAGGACTTGAATAAATGGTTCTACAGGAAGGAGCACACATTGATAAACATCTGCTCAATGTCATGCACTATTGTGGAAACACAATCCAAACCACAGGCATTCTCTTACGGTTATTAGAATGGCTGTGAGGAGAGAAGCACAGAACAGCAAGCTCTCAGAGGATGCAGAGAGCTTGGACCTCTGTGTCTTGTTGGGAGATGTGAAATGTTGCAAATGCTGACATTTTTTAATGACAGGATGAAGTTTTCCCAAAGTGTCAAAAATGGTATTTATAAATTCCATTGGATAAAGTAACAACCTCATCTTCATTACAAGGTCCCCTTCAAATACTGGAGGTCAGGCCTCTATCCCCGCCTTCACAAGGTTAGAATTGCCACAGCCCTTCTATACTTAGAGAAGGGAGGAGATGTCAGAGGCAGCCCTGCTTACACACTGAAGGCCTAAAATCAGCCATAGGCCTAAAATCAGCAATAGGCCTGTCATACATGCATGCTAACACCAAGTCTTGGGTCTCAGTGGAAAAACATTGAAACAGATGGCTATAAGCTACAGGCAGCTTTTGTGGAAATTTACAAGCCTGAGTAGTCATAGACATTGTAAATAGGTAGCCTGGGCAGACAATACCAACTTAGATAAGGACAATCGAGTCATAGGCAGAGTCATAGTGACTTGTCCCCTGAATCTTCATCCAGCTGATACCCGGTTCTGATGATATCTGTATTCCCCCTGATCACCCACACTCCAGTGTCATTCCCTTCCTCACATCCTGCCTTTCTGTGTTTATAACCCCTGTGTGAATGAACTACGATTTGAGAAAAAATAAATTAAATAAATAAATGAATAAATAAATAAATAAATTCCATTGGAGACATGTACAACAGAATTGAAGGACCTCAAAGAAATATTAACATAGTCATACTTTTTGCAAAAGAACTTACAGTAGCCAAGAGCTGGGAGCATCTCTAACTTCCATTAACAGGTGAAGGAATAAAACAAAGCTCTCTACCACAGCAATGTACATCACTCAGTCTTAAAGATAAGGGTGGCTTTCACAGGAAGCAAGGCAGATGAAGTCAGAGGTGCTGGCAGACAGGGAGACAGCAGTCATGCAGTTCCCACTTAGCAAGATGAGGTGTGACAAATGCTGGATGAGCTTTTGCTTTAGCAAAGGCAGGGACAGAAAGCCCCAGAGCCTGAGCTAGCAGGATGGGTTGGTGTGTAAGGGGATTTGTTATGAGCCTGACGACCTGAATTTGATCCTTGGGACCCACATGATAGAAGGAGAGAACCAAGTTCTGCAGCTTGTCCTTTGACTTACACACACAGACACACACACACTATCACATGTGTGTCCCCACATACACTATTAATTAATTGATTAAACTTATTTAAAAGAAAGCTGAGGATGTGGGCAAGGCTTAGCTAATGCAAATGGTTCTTTGTACTAGAAGAGTTGGGAGGCTGGAAGACCATGGAAATGGTGGGACAAGAATCGTAGCGGTGACTGCACAGTCATGTGACTGATGACTGAACAGTCATGTGACCACAGGCACCCACTTGGCAGTGTCCAGGAAACTCCCATTTGTAAACCTTCTATCTACATGGACTGCTCATGAATAAGACAGCACGGACCACAGTGGGACAGGCTGGGTACTGTCATCTTGGTGCAATCTGACCTTAGTTAGGAGCTAGATGGTGTACCCCAAGTAGGCCATATTTGTAGAAACTCAAATGTTGGTGGGTTTAGAAGCAAAGCCATGGCTTCTCCACCTGCCACACATCTGACAATGCCAAGGACAAACCAAACATGTAGATTCAAGGACTTTCTCAGTCAATAGTAGCAGACAAATTTAAACACACACTGTGAGTAAATAACCTATATTGTTATGAAGCAGGCAGCTCATAGTTCTAGAAGGGCACAGACAGGACCCAGTAAGCCAGATAGAAGATGGCATCTTCTACACAGCAGGTGTGGCCTGCTGCCAACACTTTCCTATCACCTGACTGACTGGTAAAAAGAACTTCAGTCCTGTCTGAGCATTAGTGTTGCCCTTTAGGAGAGACAGTCTATCCCATGCCCTCACAGATAGCTCAGGTAGTCCAGAATAGTGCCATCTAGAAACATCTGCTTCCCAAGGAGGCAACATGCAGTAGTGCCGAGCAGCTGTCCGAAATGGAATCTGGAGCAAGGTGGGGCTGGAGCCAATTCCAGGGAAGGATCTGGATCAAGGGAGAGCTAATGTAGGATCTAACACAAGCTTATCACAGAACACTCAGCCACTTGAAGCTGCTACAACTCAGACCTCAGCATGCGCTTGTACAATTACTGTAACATTGGCAATAAAAGAGGACTTTCTGCTATGAGATATTACACTGATGAACAGAGCTTCAGCTGTCCTATTGAGGGAATGCATGAGCTGGAGAGACAGATGGCTCAGTTGGTAAAGTGCTGGCCATGAATGCTTGAGGACCCGAGTTCAGTGCTCAGTATCCATGTAAGAACAAGCTGGGCGTGGCATCTTGTACTTATAATCTCAATGTTGGCAAGCTCCCATGCACTGAGAAAGTTTGTCTCAAAAGCAAGGTAGACAGCAACTGGAGAATGTCACCAGAGGTTGACTTTTCACACACACACACATACACTCATATCATTGCACGGATACTAATATCATTTGAACACACACACACAAGGAAAGAGAGAGACGAAGAAGAAGAGGAAAGAGGAAGAGGAGGAGGGGTGGTAGAGAAGGAGGAGGAGAAGAAGGAGAGACACGCATGAATCAATACAATGTCAATAAATTTAACATCTCTCCAATGACCTTGGCTCAAATGAACTACACGCATCTGTACCACCAAGGCAGGAAGCTAGGCTCTAGCACAAGAACCTGGATGGGAGAACTTGGTGACTAAATCTATACCCGAGGTGGTCTGCTGCCGCTCATTGACATGACTCAAATGGATTTGGGGCTATAAATTCTGCAAATGTTTTTTTTTTTCTCTTCTGATCTCCTTACCATGTGGTTTTCCCTGAACCCAGTTCTAGTCCCACTGCTATTACCTCTCCCTGGAACTCTCAGGCTACTGTGTGCCTGCCTGGACCCATAAAAGGCACCTACCTCACTGTGCTGGTAAGCTTTTTGACAAATTAACTTCAGACACCTGGAAAGAAGAAATATCAATTGGGAGACTGCCTCCATCAGATCGACTTTGTGGATGTGTCTCTGAAACATATTTTTTATTGATGATGGTGTAAAAGTGCCCAGCCCACAGAGGGCGGGGCCATCTCTGGGCAAGTAGTCTCAAGAAGTATAAGAAAAGGCACCAAAAGAGAGACAGAGAAAGGGTCTCTGCTTCAGCGCCTGCTCTGCTTCAGGGTCTCCTCAATAATAGACCATGGTATGGAAGTTCAGTTCATAAAACTCTCTTCAGCTTGCTTTTAGTCAGTGTTTTGTCACAGCAACAGAGAAGCCAACTAGGACACTAATGGTTCCACTGAGGTATTTACAAACTGTTGATTTGTGACTTTCTCTGTTCTGTTACTACAGAGACTTTGGAGGACTACTTCCACATTGGAATGAGAAATTTAGAATAACCTAAATCTATGTTCCCAGGCCTTGGTCACTCCTATGTGGTTCCAGAATAAACTATCTCTTATCCTGTTTTTGCGTTGACACACCCTACCCCACGAGGGGCATGGGAGTTATCACTGTCAGCTTTATAAGAAAATTACAAGCCAAAGAGCAACACGAGGTCTGAGACCAAACAGAAAGCCAGTTGTGAATGTGTCAGACTACTTTTGAGGCCTGCAGACATGGGTGACCTCAGAAGTCCTCCCACGTTCTAAGTAGAAATCCAACAATGATCTTTTCATGGCTTTGGTAAAGTGAGATTTGGGAGCGATTGTTCCTAAAACTCTATCATGACAAAGACCACCTCCACCGGAGAAAGCTCTGACAGAGCTTTGTGCAGGTGAGACAAATAATCCCTCCAGAGCCAGACAGCT